CTGTGCAGGACTGGGGTCACCCAAGGTCAGGGCCCCCTGCTGCTGCTGCGCACTGGGGCTGCAGCTGGGGCGGGGCTGGCGGGTGGAGTGGGGTCCAGGCTTTGTGACTCTGGCTTGAGGGCATGGTGGGGGGTCTCTAATATACTGATATTAATAGAAGGCTGGGCACTTTCCCACAGCTTCATTTTCCTCCTAAAAAAGAGTCTGGGTATTTCCTATTATTTACTTTTGTTGTTCTTCCATCCTTCCTCCTTTCCTTCTTGCTTCCTTCCCCCTCCTCCTTCCTTCCTTTGGTCATTTAAAATGCTCTGCAAAACCTTGAACGGCACACATTCAGATTCCGTAGCATGTTTCAAACACACAGTAGGAAGAGGCCGGAGTGGAGGATGTGAAATCTTGGTTCTGATGGTCCTCAGAGCTTGTGACCCCGGAGCCTCAGCTTTCTCAGCCATGTGCACCCCGGAGCCTCAGCTTAGTGTGCTCTGGCCTGAGCCCCCGATCCTCAGGCCCCTTGCAGGCCAGCGCTTCCCAACGCACATTCTCCGCCCCTGGACCTACTGGCCCAGTTCTACATCATTCGTTGTGAAGATTTTAGGTGTCTTGAAAACAGTTTTATTTGATGTAAAAGTAATTTATGAAATTTAGAAACATATGCAAAAGAAAATTAAAATTATCTTTAATTTACAGAAAACTGTCAACATATTGGTATATACATTTCCAGCCTTTTAGCTATATATTTTTAAATGATTTCAGAACTATGAATTATTCATATATGATTTTTATTCTTTTTCAGTTACTACTTTATTATGAATGTTTTTCATATCAGTATATATTCTTCAAAGCCATTTTTATTTATTTATTTTTAAATCCTCACCTGAGAATATATTTTTTTCCATTGCTTTTTCAGATCAAGTATAAGGGAGAGAGAAAGAGAGAAACATCAATGTGAGAGAGACACATCGATTGGCTGCCTCTTGCATGTGCCCCAACCGAGGCGGGGAATCAAGCCTGCAAAGGGGAGAGATACATGCCCTTGGCCGGAATCGAACCCGGGACCTTGCAGTCCGCAGGCCAATGTTCTAACCACTGACCCAAACTGGTTAGGGCTTCAAAGCCATTTTTAATAGCTGCTTAGAATTTCATCTATGAAAATGTCATAAAATTATTTAACCATTTCTATAGTTTGGACAATTTGGATATTTCTATTTTTTCTATTATATTATTTATATTTACCTTCATTTAGTATCTTTTTACCTGATCTTTTTTATCCCCCTATGTCATGCCACTTGCTTTATTTTTCTAATTTTGTTCCTGTTAAAAGGAAGAATGTTTCATATTATATAAATTTATAATCCTGCTGTCATTTGTACAATTCTTCCACCCTCATTAGGAGATACCATGAATATAGTAGCCAAGCTTACAGCTTGTAATCAGGGCACTCTGCTCAGGCCTCCCATTA